AAACCTCCAGAAGGAGCCTGCACCAAGCTCCTCATCACACACAGCCCTGCCTGTCCTCAGGCCACCCTGACCTGGCCAGTGAGCAGTGGCCAGACTTTGTCCTGCTCATACCGGGCAGCAATGGGACCAGACAGGCCGGCAGCACCACCTGGGAGCCTCAGCCTGCTGGGAATGGCTGTCACGTCAGGAATGTGAACAATTACCCTCCTGTTGCCACGGGTCACAGGCAAAGCCTCCCCATGCACCCCCACAGACATTTCCAGCGCACCCCTGTCCTTCCCGCAATGTGTGTCACACTGCACTGGCAGCACAGCCCAGACAGGGCATTTAAGTAGGAAAAAAGATGGAATTCACCACAGTTCCCTGCCCCAAGTCACATCCCTGGTTTCAAGGCTCTCCATCCTGCGTGTCAGGGACAGCAGAAATGTTCCTCACCCAGTTTCTCCCGAGCCTGGATCTGCTGCAGACACACAGGACAAACCAACTGCAGCGTTCCTCAGTACAGCTCTTACACCCAGTGCAGCCAGTGGATGAAATCCCAGGGCTCAAGGCAGGAGATGGGCTGCCCAAGGGGGAACCTGCTCCTCAGGGCCCCCTCACAGCCAGGCAAGCAGGTGGGGCTCCTGCTGCCTTCAGGGAGGACAGAAACACCAACTCCACACTCCTGGCATGGCAACATCAATCCTCACGTGTGAGCACCAGGGCACACCACTCACAGCCACTGTCACTGCCAGGAGCTCATCTCTGATACAGCTTCCCAAGAAGCTGTGCTAAATCCAAAACTCCACTGGGATGGGTACTCAACTCATCTAGGGAGTGCTCTGGCTCTTCATTCCTTAGTGATGTGAAGAAGTTAAGAGGCCAAAATCTTTGCTGCACTTGAAACACAGAGCTGAAGCAGATTTCTGCTTTCCTGCTTTCCTGCTTTCCAGAATGCCTCTCAAACCAGCCTGCCACGCTGCCTCACTGAAAGCACCAGTTTTACTGAAACCTCTACTTACATCCTTCACCAATGTAAATCCTCAAGATACAGCTGCTCCCTTTAATAGAGGCAATAAATCCCAAGCTGACACTCTGGGACATCTTCCTCCCCAAATCTCCACGGTGTAAGCATGGAGAATATTCCCACTCTGTGACCCATTTCTGCTGTTTACTTTTTGGAATGCAGCGACACTTGTATTGCTCAATGTGCTGCCAGAGCAATCGCACAGAGCCTGCACACGGTGCTGCTGGCAGTGGCTGTGCTCGGGCCAGGACAAGGAGAGCCAGCAGAGCCTCTGAAGGCTCAGGCACAGCCAAGCCCAGCCTGAAACTCTTCCTTGTGTTCCTCACTCACTCACACGAGGGAGCACACACGTGTTACAGCACAGCCAAGATTTAACACCAAGGCTTCCCTTCCCCCCAGGAACACCACGGAGGTGTAAAGCACCTTTTTACAGCTCCAGCTGCACCCCAGCCACGGTGTGAGCAAGCACAGCTAGTGCAGCTTTTCCAAGGCACAGTTCAAGCAGAAACAGACCTCGAGAAAATAATTACAGGATGTAAGAACCCCAGGCCTTGAATCACACCACATTTGTTAGCTCTAGATAAAACTCCTAACTGCAGTTTCACAGCACCAGTGCCTGAAGCGTCCTACCAGAGCCTGAAAAGATTAAACTGGAGACTGCCAAACTTTCCCCAAAACTTCCCGAAAAGTTACGTCAGGTCCAGCACACAAACAAGGCACATGAAGTGCAGGCAGCCCAGAGCAAATTTTAGAAGCTGATTGTAGCTGCTGAAACAACACTAAGCTCACCTGCCTTTTTGTCTGATAAGGTATTTATCTTCTCTTCAACGATACTGAAAACAGTATCCAATACTGGAACCGCATTTGCAGATTAAAAAAAAAAAATTCTCAAAATTCTTGACGACCTGGAAATCAAATGTATAGAAAGCACAAGGTAAGAGCGGGACAGACACGGATCTTTTCTCTCTGGTGACCAGTGACAAGATCCAGGGGAATGAAGCAGGGGAAGGGCGGGGTCAGGCTGAAGATGAGAAAAAGGTTCTTCCCTGAGAGGGTGTCAAGCACTGAACAGGCTCCCCAGGGAATGGCCACAGCCTCAAGGCTGGCAGAGCTCCAAGAGTGTGGATGACACTCTCAGGCACAGGGTGGGATTTTTTGGGTGTCTTTGCAGGGTCATGCGTTGGACTCTATGATCCTGATGGGTCCCTCCCAGCTCAGAGATTCTATGACTGTATAATTAAGAAATCAATTAGGCTTATCTTATTGTGACAAGATGAAGCCTAAGGATGGAACCACTCCTCTCAAAGAATTTCTATCCACTCATCTGAAAGTATTTTGCTAAATATTAAAGGCCCAGTGGTAATGCCTTCTCTGCAATACAGCCCTATCTGTAAGGCTTCTGAAAGCAGCAATATTTGAAGTCAGATTTTTTGTTTAAAAGCACTGCATGTTACCTGAGCTGTTGTAGAGTTCAGAGTCCTGCTGCTCACCTTACAGGGCCTTCCAGGAACACCCTGATAAACCTCACTGTTACCCATTAACAGTGTTACTCAAGAGCCCATTAATTATGGGACTTTCTCTCCTTTATGCCAAGGTTCTCTGAGTGGTGTAGGACACGTTACAGATGTTGGGTCATGTACACTTGGAATCTAAAAATGCCAGGGAAGAAAAGTTACCACCCAGACAGGATCTGCACTGGGGCAGCAACAGCCAAGGTAGAGCTTCCCCACAAAACTTTTAACCATTTCCAAATATTGTGTGATTATTTCTGATGGTTTTGACGTGAAAACAAATGAGTAATAAGTTATGTGCAGTGCCCACATACCTGAGCTTACCTTTAACTGATCAGGCAGGCTGAGGTTTCTCTTTTCTGTCCCACTTTGGATCATTAACAGAAACCCTGCTGTGAGCAGTCACTAAAATGACTTTAGCTTTTTGTGCTTGTGAGAAAGCCACATTTTCCAGCATTTTAAAAAGTGTAAGATCCACAGCAAATTCCAGAACTACAAAGCACCACAGGAAAGAAACCTGGAGTCAATCTCTGCTTTAGACCCACACAACAGCACCATACTTGACCATACCCTACAAGGGAATCCCAAAAGCACAAAAAGGATCCTCCCTGCCCCCAGAACATCAAGTGACAAATGTTCATAGGTACACAACTGTTTAGGTCGAAAAAGACCTCGGAGAACAAGTCCAGCTATAATCCAGGACCACCAAATCCACCACTGCCCATCAGTGTCACACCTGCACATCCTTTAAACATTTCCAGGAGTGATGATCTCTCCACTGCCCCGGGCAGCCTCTGCCAATGCTTAATAATCCTTTTTATTTTGGCCCCAACATCCAATCTAACCCTCCCCTGGCACAACTTGAGGCCAGTTCCTCTCATCCTGTCCCCTGGGAGCAGAGCCTGACCCCCACGTACCTCATCAGGGAGCTGTAGAGTGCTGAGGTCTCCCCTGAGCCTCCTTTTCTCCAGGCTGAGCATTCCCAGCTCCCTCAGCTGCTCCTCAGGCCTCGTGCTTGCAGCAGGAAATGGAAAAGTTCAGGGCTCATGTGTGGACACCTTCAAAGTTCATCCCTGGAGGGCACGAGGGTGCTCTGAAGCTCTGTTTGAATCCCCAGAAATGCACATTAGCTTGGATTACAGGCTCTCCCTGCCTGGAGAGCATCACACTGTGCTACCAAAATCCACAGGAATTCCACATCCCTGTTTATGTTTTTAGGGAAGGAGCCTGGGATCTGAAAGAACAAGTACTTTGTATTTCAGTTCAGTATTAGACAGAATTGCCAGCAGACTAACAGCAGGGCATCAAAATAGTATTTATTGACCTGGTTTAACCACATCCTACCATTACCTGCACCATGCCAGGAACAAACTGTCAGTATCTTACTAGAACTGTGTTGTTATACAAACAAAGATAAGCACATACTATCTCAATTGTATTCAAAAATATCTATTAATTTCACCAGAAATATTTACAAGTGACACTTTTTCTTGAAAAGGCTGCTTTAAGCCAGAAAAAAATTCCAAATAGTAAAGGGAGAATCTAATAAATGAATTGAAATTCACAATATTTGTCATTGTCTGCAAAAGAATCAAAGTTACATTTTTGGTTTTATTTTTTAGGGATAGCCAAGAACCCAAAAATAGTGGTTTGAGTCTAGACGCTTATATAAATCTTGTGAAAGAATTAATCTGCTGCTGCAGTAACAGCTACCCCATTTCCAAGCTAATCCAGTTAAAAAACCTGTTCTGATAAAGTCTGTATAATTTAAAGTTATTTATGTAGTAATTTATCTGTGTGCTACGGTATTTGCTGGTTTATTTAGAATTAATTTTTAGACTAGAAAAGAGAAAATGCATTTTACAATGGCAGAATCTCAAATTCTCAAATTTCATTTACACAAATAGATTTCTATCAGTTCTTAGCAAGTGCCTGTTTATTTCTCCCACCTTGCTCCATGATATAGCCCAAAATTCAGAAAAAGCAGAAAAGTTTATTGTAATAAAGCAAGAGAACTGATGATTTTGGCCCCATGTCTGTAAAAATGAGATCTGAATGCAGGAAATGTTATCCAAATTAAAGGCAAAAAAATATGTCTATGGAGTTAAGAAAAAGAAAAATCAACCCAAGAAGCCATTCTAGCAAATCACTCTCACCAAAAATGCATGGTTTGCAAAAGGAGTCATATTATGTATAAGATACAGAGCTGCTCTGCCAAGCAGAGGAAGCCACTTCATGTCCAGATGTGTCCTCATGAGGACAGGGTGGCTCCCCAGCAGCACAAGGGTGACATCTAGTGACAGCCACATCCATCTGTTCCCAACTCCAGCCTTCCCAAAAACCAGCCAGGGCTGCCATCCTCACCTGGAGTGAGAGAGGTTAGGGTTGTACCTACGTTTAAATGTCTGCATTAAAAAGATGCACATGTATCAGAAATCTTTCATTACCTGAATTAAAAAAAAACAACAAACCCAAACATAAAGTAAACATGAAAAAATCTGTAATTTTAAGATACATAATCTATGCAGAAAATTGTTTAAACCTTCAATACCAGAAATAAAAAGTTCCTCTTGCTATATTAGTGCTATGTTGTTCTAATGCAACCTCTAAAGTGCCATGTTCTTGAGTAATTTGCTGTAACTGGGATACAATCCTTGCAAAAGCTGTTCCCAAAAGATCATCCTGCATAGCATTTACTTACACAGCTATAGTACAGAGAGATTTTAAAAAGTCACACACTCAAGCAGTAGAAAATTCTCCCAATCTCTCCAAAAACATAAAAAATGCTCTAGAACTTTAACATTTTTTACCAACAAACAGTGCAGTCCTCACTCTGGAGGCAAGACTATCCATTCAAACTTCTCTAGTTAGTAAAGAACCTGGGACAAGACCAAAGTGCTTTATTACAAATAGAGCATTATTTTTCTCTGGTTCTATGCACTGCTTCTCTAATAATACATTACAAATAATACAAAACAGTAATTAAGAGTTTGTTGCTCTTTTCTTATAACCTTCTCATGTTTGTGTACTGGGAAAATGAGTGTTTTTCTCAAAACACTCTCTTCTGTTTATTAGGGTAATCAACCCCAATCCTTGCTCCCAGAACTGTAGGCTTCATTTTCACCTTTGACTGCAAAAATTGCACTGCTGAGAAGTGCAAGGAATCACAAACTGCATCATTTGAGAATTACAATACCTTATTTTACAACTGTAGTGTGTGCAAACAAATATTTCAATTAAATTTAATAGTTACAAGTATTCTCAAACCATGTAGGTACAGTAGGTTCTACAGAAAGTATCATGGATAACCAATATTCTGAAACTTGAAACAAAAACAATAAATAAAAGTTCGAAGTATTAAAACTAAGAAAAAGTAATCCTGTACATTGTACAGTACCTTTTGGTTAAAGCTTCTTAGCAAAAATATACTAATGTGTTCTAAGCATTCCAGTTACAGATGGTTCAATATTAAAATTTCAAGGTTTCCTCATCATGAAAAAAATATTGCATTTGTCCGTAGGTGCAGCAGAAGATGTCTCTCTCTGAACAAGGCTTCAGTCTTTAAAAATCCAGAGACAGCAAGTCTGAATTGAAAGGAACCATTACAAAACTCCAATACAGTACTGAGGATGTAGGGTTGTTGTGCATGAGGGCTTTTTGACATTCCTTGCTCCCAGCAGCAGCTCTAGAGAGCCCATTGGATATCACTGAGGTCAGCTGGGTCTGCCAGGCCTCCGTCAGCCTCCAGGTAATTCATCAGAGCTGTCATGGCAGTGTCGTCGTTCCCACAGATGGCATCGAAGTCCAGCTGAGAATTGCCACCTACACAGTGAATACAACTGGAGGTTTGAAGCAGGAATGAACATTATGAAGCATGGAGAACTGCAACTTGCAAAACAGAATTGGTTTGAAGCAGCACCTGCCTTTGAAGGCAAATATTTCTATGTTAAAAAACCCCTAACTTGACTCCCTTTTAGTTTAAAACCATTACTTCTTGTTCTGTGTTGTTGAGGTTGTTTTTAATTATTTTTTCCCAAGCCCTTATTAGAGGACTAGTTTTTTTCCTTTGTTTCTTTTTCAGTGTTTTTCTTTTTTGGTTGGTTGGTTGGTTGGTTGGTTGGTTTGGGGTTGTCAAGGTTTGGGTTTTTAAATTTTCTTTTGAAAAGGTTCATAGTTCAACTCGAAGAAAGCTGTAGGTTAAAAATAAACAAATAAATTCCTGGTAAATGGGGGAGAAGAAAGAGGAGCTGAAATATAGGATCAGCATAAACATGGCTTTTACAGCATTTTGCCTTTTATGTTAAACATAATGCAGTGGCATTTTACTCTTACAGGGCCAGGGAATCCTGTATCCAGACAAACTTATAAAGGGAAAGGCAAAAAAATTTCTTTTTGAACCATTTTGAGTAGTCCTTTGTATCAACTACTCCCAGCTTGCAGCTAAGAAAGAGGTAAAGTGCTAAAGGACAAAAATTCACAAATTCCAAGAAGTTCCCTGACATTGCATTGAAATGTTTTTTCCTCCCCATCTCTGTCCTGGAGAGAAAACAGTAAAGTGCCTCATGAAAAGTGTAAGAATGTAATGGTAAACTTCAGTTACAGATGTTGTTTTTTGTCATGAGATTGCCTCACTGATCACATTTTGCTGTTTGCCTTGCAGCAATAACACATCTGTTTTCAGAGTGCTCTCATCTTCAGCCAGCCAGCCAGCCAGCCAGCCAAATCTCTTTAGAATTTATACATGGTTGTCAAGGGGTGCACTCAGAAATCACACCATTGGTCAGAAATGTCAGCCCCTGCATGTCCCCGAATATCCCCAAGAGAAATAAATCTTACTGAGGAGAGGTTCATTACTGGGAAATGGAATAGCACCCTGGGTTTGTTCTGAATTCTCTAGAGCTTCTGTTTCTGAAGGACATAACTGAATCAACTCTTTATTTGGCACCTGGAAGAGCAGAATTGGTAGAAAGGACAGAATTAGATTCTAAATTTAGTCACAAATATTATATTAGAAAAACGTCATTGATTTCTGTCAAATTATTAAGAACTAAATTAAGAAAGTGAAAAATATACAAAGTTGTGACTTACACAACTGTCAAAGGTACTTCACAGTGATGGCACTGCCTGAGGGTCTAATTCATGTTCAGTAAATAAATCCAGCACCAAATGTACTGGTTTGCACTTTCCGTATCTACTACCATAAACTACAAATTCCCAGTGACCTCCTGTTTGTCACGGTCAAACATTCCAGGTAAGAGATTAAAAAAGCCCTCATACCTCCTAGGTGTGATTAAACTATATTGATGATAGTAATAGAAACGGAAGTCATCCTAACNAAAAAAAAAAATTTTTTTTTCCCCCGATACTTGTTTTATTTAACACATACATGTAATTTAGCAAGAGAGATTCCTAGGATTGCCTGACTTGTGTATATTCTACCATGAAATTAATAAAAGTGAAATGCTTTCTGAAAGTATTTTAGGAACAAATGGGATACCAAAGCCCAGAATCAAGAAAAATCTTAAATGAATATGATGAAATTATCCTTATAATGAGACATTATATGATTTAGAGAGTTCAGCTTAAGTCAAACAACTCGTAAGGAGAAAGATGTGTGGTGACACAGGGGAGAACAGATCTTGAAAAAAAGGGGGAAGTCAAAGCAGAATAGTGGGGTTTTTCCATAGGAAATGAGAATTGCAGTGAAAAGATAAACTGTTTTTAACAGGAAAGAAATTTGCATTCAAAGAAGAGCTGTTGGAGAAGTTTGTTCATGCAGTGTCCAATACAAACCATACAACATATTTAGGTAAGAAGATATGTTAATTATTCCATAGCTATGGGCAATAACTATGTTAGTTATAGTCTGCAGTGTTACAAGCATTAGTAGATTTACAAGCACTACTAGATTAGCATTACTGTCCATTTTTAGAAGAGCAATGAAATACCTTCAAAGTCACAATTTTAAACATTTCAAAACAGCACACACTTTTTAAAAAGTCTCTTCAAAAACATTAAAAGTATATATTCTCTCACAAAAACACATCAGGGCAATCTGGCTCAAACACAGGTTTTGGGCTGACATTAACCTTTTCATTTTGGATTTTTACAGGCAGAGGCATACTCACATCACTGCAGTTTATAGTTAAAGCTGGAGAAGGTGACTTTCTGAGGAGATGTGATGGACTTAACTCTCCAGATGGTGAAGAATGCAACCTAAAATTGCATATGTTTAGTTGATTTACCAGGTCACATTAATCAAACATTGAAAAACAGACTGTGTAGTGCAGAACCCACCCAGTGACAAAGCATGAGTCTGATAATTTGAAACAATAATGTCTTAAATTCTCCTGAAGATTCTAAATTATCCTGCTCCAAATTCTGGTAGCAGAAAGCAGAGAAGAGATCAGAAAAGGCCATGGGTCACAATTCCTTGAGCACACTTTTCTTTTTCTGTTGAGGAAGATGTCAGTGATGTGCTCTGCCGGGCATGAGACCAACATTCATTATAATGGTATCTCAATGCTATTGCTCAACCTAAAAAATGCTATACATATAATACAGTAAAAGTGAAACTGGAGCAACCCTCACATAATCATATATCCCTCATCTCTATCTTTACTTAAAAGCCTAATGATGGTGTTATGCATTTATTACCTTTGCAATTCTAATATTTCATTTGCAATTTCGGTTCCTATACTTCCAGCACCAAGAACTGTTCCAGAGGACATTCCAGGTACACTTACTAAAGATTGTTTTACAGCATCTGGAGATAAAAAAAAACAAAGCTCAAACAAAACCTTAAACTCAGAGCACGATCATTGCAGAGCAGTGATTCATTTTAAAGCAGTTTTTGTTCTAGATATACTTATATATATACACACTATCTAAGTATATATTTTCATATATGTATTCAGAAATTATATTCCTTTAAATACTGATTCATGGCAAAGGGTGTTGCAATATAAAGTGAATTATCTGTTTGTGAAAACTTTGTTCTCCAGTAGTGAAATATATTTAATCATTGCCACCTCCAGTGTCTCTCACAGACATTGCAAGGAACATGAGTTTAAAAAAAACCCCTTGGATTTCTCATCAACTGAAATGAGTTACTGAAAGAACATTTTGAAAAGCAAATATAAAGCGTTGACAGCAAGATAGAACAGCATGCAGAAAACAGAATCTATGCATAGCAGAAAAATAATAACAAAATATGTTCTGTATCAGTATTGCCCTGCATTTTATAGATAAACTCAGCACAATTGCATCTGTTCAGAAGACTGGGCAAAATATGAAGGGTCTGTGACAGAAGCAAAATATCCTACCAACCAAATCCCCAGCTCTAACAGAAGCTGCTGAAAATTAAAAGTAGGTTATATACACTTCTGTTACATATATCAATTAGAACTCTGTAATAACTAGACACTGAAAAAGAAGAAACTTTAAAAAAAAATCCTTCCCTGCACACAGCCTAGAATAAAAAAGTCCCTGGACTGGATAAATCTAAACTGACTGATCAGGAAATGCAGCTGTGATAACTGTAAGAAGTGACACTTGCCTTCTGCAGGTTGGGAACTGTAGAGGACCTCTTCTTCAGCTGATTCTTTATGACCTCTGAGATTTAAAGAAATTTAAAAAAACCAAAACCACAAAAAGTCAGCAGGTTTTTTTCAAGAGTAAAATCCAGCATATATTTATGATTAATTTAATAATACTTTACACAGAACAAAAGCTAATGTCCTCAGACTAGGGAAATAGAAGATATTCATCACATATTTCCATCTCCAATTCTTTGTAATGTTTCTGAGCAGTGAGTGAAATACTAATTTCCACTTACTCTCCAAGTGAAAAGGAAAGCCAGTAGGATTGTCTGTGTTCCATGACAAGGGAATAGGGCTGTCATTTTTAGTGTTAGGAGGAAAATCAGGTAACCAGGAACAAGGACAGGTCAGTGGCTGCCTCATGTCAGCAGCTGCTGCCCTCCTTCCCTCCTGCAGACAGCTGCAAATGCCCACATCTCCAGAGCAGGCAAAAAGGTGTTCTTGGGCTACTGGCCAGCACAGACTGCCTGAACTGCCCTTCTCTGTCTTCTTGAGGAAAAAAAGACATGAGCAAAAGAGGTGGGTGATGCTGACTTAAGGCATGAACCAGAATGGGCAAAAGGCCTTCTTGACAACTTTGTTTAATGGAAATAAAATCCCCTCTGTCCCCACTCAAAACCCCAATCACTGGCAAAGATCCTCAGCAGCACTGGAACAATCCCAATTACAGCTCCAATTACAATAATCCAATTACAGCAAGGTGCAGAGAAAAAGAACTACAAATAAAAAGAGGAATTAAACACAAACATTTACTGTCCCCCAGGCTCCACCGTTACAACCAATCTGGAGAGGATCTTTCTGTCCTGCCTTGCATTTCCACCATCAATCAAATGTGCTCCTCCAAGTTCTGACAACTGGGAGTGGGGCAGCACTTGGAACTGGGTCAGCTGACACACAGAGGGTTGTAAAGACCAGAAGCAAAAGCAGAATTAACTTGACAGTTCCATTTATTCAAATCTACTTTTTTTAAAGATCCTTCCCTTCTTCCTTTAACAACAAACTTTTTCACCTCATTTTTTCCTACTGGCAAACAGCATCGTTTTCAGAGTCAAATCCACAACATAGGCCTGAAACAAAAATAGCTAGTAAATGCTAAAAGATGTTTGTCCAGGTTGTTCAGCCCTTTGGTGCAGGGTTGGTGTTTTCTAGCCTTGTTCTGCTTTCTAAGCAGGTTATTTTCTGTTAGAGCTAACTGTAATTATGACCAAAAAAAATGGAGAGACACATAAATTACTTACAATACCACAGTGTTGTTTGATACAATGTACTCCAGCTCTTTGGTCCAAGGATTCATGAAACTGAACCACTGACTCTTTAAAGTAACAAAAGTCCCATCTTTTGCTCTAAATTTGTAGGAATTTGTAAATACTTTTTCTTTATTCTGTAACACTAGATAAGAAAAGCAAAGTTATAATCACCATATTTAAGCTTAGAAAGGTAAAATTAGAAATAATAAATCTGTTTTATAGCATCATAAAACCAAAATGTTTCTGTTGGCCAGACATAGAATAACACGCCAGAACAAACTGGGACCTGTTCTAAAATCAAATTATATAGTTTCAGCAGAGCCATAAATCTTACATTAAAAAACAAATACTAAGTTTCTGCAAACCACCAGGAGACTCGTGGCTTGGTAAGCTTTAACTCATGTTTTTAATGATGTTATCAGACACATCTACTCTTCAGGATTCTTTCCTCTTCCTTACAAAAAATGGAAGCAGAGGGTTTGACAGATGCACTGACATTATTCCCCCACCATTAAGGCCCTGCACCAGGAGCCAAGACAACACAAGTTTCTCCCTGCTTTTATTACAAGCCTTATACAGGTTTGTCTTAACACAGACATCACAAAGGGCAATGCTGAGGTTGGGTAGTTTGGGTTTGCAGTGTTTTCACTTGCAGTTACATGTAGCTGTAAGCAGTCTGGCAGGACCAGCTATTTTGTACCTTCTTTGTGTTTTTCAGCTAGGTGATTGTGATCATCTTGATGGCAGTACTCATAACAAGAAGTTCCTAGAAGCTCTTGTGGCAGATACCCTAAAATTGCTGTTGCGCTGTTAGAAATAAAAACGTGAACTACAGCGGATTCAAAGCTGTTTTCTTCAGTATCAGATAAAGCAGAACATTAATATTTAAACAAACAGATGCCTGTGTTTGTGTTTGGGGAAAAAAATATAGCATTAGTACAGCTCTAAAACAACAGGAAATCTTTTTCACAGCAAATTATCCCTTTGCAATGAATGACAATTCAAAGGTAAAGTAAGTGTTTAAACATGCAAACCACATGTACACACAAATATTTCTGTTTAGTGGCTTCCCCTTAGCCAGTCACAGTACTGGTCACACGTAAGAGTCAATAAAAAACTCAGCAGCTGAATTTTGCTCTTCCACTCAAAGGAATTAGTTTTAAACTGACACTTTTAGTCGAAAGAAAGTAAGATTGAAAGCAATAACATTTCCAGTGACAATGAAATTCAAAATGCAAAGTGGTTAACTAGGTCTCTGCAACAAATAAAAGTCTGCTTCAAAAAGTACAGAAAATGGGAACTTATTTCCCACTTCCAATGAAATTATTTGGTACCCCATTTAGATAGAATATATTTGTTACAAATGGTAAGACTCTCTGAAGTCATAACTATTGGCTAAATGTTTATTACTTCAGTCATATGCAAAGCTATGAAGCTCTAAGTTGAGATTTTTTTTATGAATAAATGAGCTCATTTTCTATAGGAACAATACATTTCTATACATTATGCATTATATTTGACAAAAAGCAAAGCACAAGTACACATAGTTTAAGAATTTACTGCTTCTTGTGTAGAGCAGAAAAATATTCTGAAAATTAGAATTTTTGAGAATTCTCAAAAAATTCTCAAAAATGAGAATTTGAGTTTGAACTTCTACCCTGCAGAAGAAATTACAGTTTTGACAGAGTATCACAAAATGGAAGCAGTTGTGTCATTTCTCTTCATTAAAGAACAAAACGCTTACCGCTGATCTACATAAACAAATTTTCCATCCATGGCAAACCGTGTAACAAATTCTGTTGCTTTGACTTTTATCTCTCCACTCTTTTGTGGAACAATATAAGGGTGTAACCTCCCAATTGCAACAAGACAGTTAAAGTTACTACTGTCCTTTTCTACATCATTTTCCTCTTCTACTCCCACCTCATTAGGAGGCCAGTTCTTCAAATACCCAGTACAGTGAATGGTGCAGTATTTTCTGTGATCTAATAGAAAGAAATTAAATAAGAAGCAGTTATTGTTCAAAGAGTAAACCAAAATACTTATTTCATTCTGTTGGCCATGAGACCAGCAACTATATTTCATGCTTACCTACACCAACTGTACAAAGCTACAGATCATTTTGCAGAGTATTTTTCAATTAATTTTGTTCTATTCAATTTGGGCTTACCTGCAGAGAGAGCTTCTAACCCTATGTGAGATTTAGGAAGATGAGTTATGGGTGTTGGCAGTTCAAACACAAGATAGACAGAAAAGAAAGCAATAACCCACAGATCACTTTGGTTTTATATGGTTTCATATGGATTGGGAATTAAAATTAACCTGAAGCCCTCTGTAGCTTCCAAATCAATTTACTTCTGGTGAGCACAATGATCTGAACATATGCTCACTGCAGCTGATGAAAGAATCAGTCAAGAACAACCCAAAGCAATCCAGCTCATTTTCTATTTATCTCAGGTTTCTGAAGTTTTATGGGAATACAAATATTTTAAATATCTAAAATTCCAGCATACACTGTCATTCATCCCTTTTTGCTCTCTATATAACATGCAAACACCATCATAAGCATCAAGGTTTGACATTGTGTCCTACAGTAGTTGTTTTTCCAAAAAAATGCCAAAGCATTCTTGACATCTCTATGCTGAACAGGATGCTTTCCATAGCTTTGATTTTCCTCTCTATCACAAAAAACACAGATCAACTCTGCAAAATGAGAAACTCAGTTATCCCACTATGATTTTGTCACAGTTGCTCAGGTGCCTTCCCTCAAAACTGCTTTCCCAAGAAACATTTCCAGAAGGTAAATTCTTATCTCACTGAGTTATCTGAAACATCAAGGGATATCAAATTCTATTTACTTACAATCATGGGCCTCTTAAAATTTGTGGTGTATCTCAACAGGTACATTGAAAAACAGAACTTGTGAGGATTTTTTCAGGATCAAACAATTTCAGCACACCTTTGCAAAAATCAATACTAAGGTATTAAAACAAAAGCTGGAAATTGCATTTTAAAATTGAAATTTAAATTTTCATTGGAAACTTGACAAGATTATACTGCTCTACGGACATACCAAAATATGAACTACAGTAAAATTACTGGGAAAATGAATGGAATTACATCAATAAATTAACTTAACCATGAAAAGGGGAAAAAAGGAAAATTCATACTTTTAAATACACACAACACAAAAAGAAAATCAGAAAATAAAGTTGGTTTACTTGCTTTTTTCCCTTCAAAATAGTAGAGTTTGCAGGCTTTATTCACTCAGTTATCTTCAAGACATAAGTTATTAATTTCATTCTTCTGATCTGCTCCAGTTCTTTCAAATATTTCCCTGAGACTTCTCAAATTTGACCACAACAGACCACATGCTCCTATACAGCCACTGAACCTCAGGTTCCTCCCTCCCTCTTTCCAGGAGGGCACCAGCAGGAGAAAGAGTACAATTAGACTGCTTTCCAAAAGGTGTCCCTGGTTCATATCTTACACTGCTCTACAGCTACTTGGTGACATCAGTAGGAACTAGAAAGTCATTAGTGACTTGGAATTTAAACAAGTTTCAAGAGAGAAAGCCCCCACTTCATCTCCACTCTTTGAGTACCTTTCTTCTTTGGGTTGGGCAAACACTCCTTCTCCTCTTTGACCGTGGTCCTGCTACACTTTATCCGACAGAAGAAGGAACGCCGAGCACCAGAGTTCAGCCGAGCTGGTCCAGCTTGGAAATCTGTGTGTACTTGCAAGCCAGCTTACAAAGATTTAGTAAAGTAGTTTAAAAACCCCAAAACCAAGCAATAAAACTTCAGAAAACAAGATGCTTTCTGCATTTACCTCCCAGTACATTGTCCTTACTGTTTAGCTGCCTAAATTTTGTCCTTACAATTAAAAAAGTCTAATAATTTAAATAGGGCAAAGAAAACATGATTGACACAGATTTCAAAATTAGAAAGAACTACTAAACTATTTTTAAGCCTTTCTTGATATTCTTAATCGAATTTTACTATAGATGCTTTATAAACTTTCACCTTGTTTTTGATACAAGGAAGAACTGCAAAGATGCTTATAAAAGCCAGTTATAAAATAGGCATTAGCTGCACAGTACACAATGCTTTCCTTATCAGAAACAACTGTAAACTAAAGAAGGTGTGGTTACATTGGGATTGACACTTAGCATTTTCAGAGAAGACAGTGATTCTTGATATTGAAGTATTTTTTCCCATGTTCGACTACATCAGGTCTTTTGTATTGACAAGACCTAGTAAATACAAGAAAAAAAAGTAGTATGCTGGTAGGAAGAATGTCAGACCACATCTTGGTAAATGCTTAACAGTGATTTCAGCAATTTAACAGAATTCCAGTAATTCTTATGATCTAAAATCAAGTCTTTTCTGGGCTAGCTTTTGAATTCTAAATGCATTTTAAGCAGCAGATACGCATTCAAATGTTTGTTTCATAGATATACCTCAGGTTTCTTCATCCAAACATCCATACAAATACCTGAATACATCCTGACTAATAATTAGATTTTTTAACATCTCTTGAAAAAATCTGAGCACATCCAGCTCTGACTTACTTTTGCCATCTACAAGCTTCTCCCTAGGTGAGATGTCCGATGAAGAAAGTTGCTCTTTAACCTTTGCAACATCTTTTGGATGTAAGTAATCAAATAAACTTTGTCCAATTAAACTGGCCTATTAAAAACAAAACAAAAAAACCAACAAAACACAAAAGAGATGAGAACCACACCATTTTGGAACAGGACCCCACACATTACTTATCTCAGGAAAACAACTGTCTACAACACTAAAAAAAAATCAATACCACAGTTACCCCAAACATCACTATATTGTTTTACATTTCATTTGTCATTGTTTAATATAATTTTTATTTAAAAGGATAGTGTTGGAATGTGCTAGGTTTTTGCACTACTAATTAGTGGTTTGTCTCATTTCCTCTGTTTTTGTTCAGAGCCAGGATTCTTAGAAAGGCGATTGAGACGGATTCTCGTGTTCGGACTTGGATGTTTAATATTTCTTATCAAAATTTAAGAAAGCATAGCAGCACTTCTAGCTCCTTGCTAGAAGTAGGAAAAATGGCTCTAAGCTGAGCCTGTTTCAAGGCTTTTTAAAGCTAAACACACCAATAAAAGTTTTATACTTATATTACTTATACTTTCAACCTAATAATAGATTTCTATGATTCTTAGAGTGACTTTTAACTGACTAATCCAAAGGTAACTACTTAAGTTCTGTGAAGAAGGAAGAGAAGAAGATGAACAAGAAGAAAGACACCACCCAAAATTCTCCATCTTGTCCCATAGCTACCACTCTACATAAAAAACTCAAATTTAAAACTCATCACCTAGTGAAAACACACACATCTAACCCACTACACATTTGTGATTTCTAACTTATTATTAATATTTACAAGTCTTCCCTAAGATTTTAGGTTCAGTGCAGTGTTTTCCAGGGTGTCTGTGCCTGGAAGCACAGAGAATTCAAGAACTCCCATTTCCTGAGATCCAACAGGTAGTAAAAACATAGTTTGTTACTTCCCTTTGAAAAACACCAGATTTAGTTAGAGATTAAACAAGTTCTGTACAACCAGACGCTTTATTTATGCAAATAATGCAATTCCTGGTCCTAGCCAAAGAAGGTTATCCACAAAGTAACTCCACTCTCACATTATTGGGGAAGGAGGGAAGAAATAGGCATAGGAACTATCTAATGACTCTAAGCTTTAATTTGGTTGGATAAACTGGCACCACTGAGCCAGGAGCAGGTTGGAAGCAGGGCTCAGCTTACCACAGCACTGCTTGGCAGAGGATATTCACAGAGATGGCTCCAGCTGGGATGCTTCTACCTGCTGTTCACTCTGTTCATCCCAAGTAACTGACCTGCTGCACCACTTTCTTTTGGAACAGGAAGGAATTCTCACAGAAGTGGGCTGGTTTGGGTTTTCTACTGCTTGCCTTCAGCACAGCAGCCAAATCAAAGGATAGAAAGGAGCTGTGTTGACAAGCTCTACTCTGGATTCAACTCAGGATAAATATCCAGTTTCCTGCCTTTTCCCAGTCCCTATTTAATCTTAATGCAATGGGAAAATGCTGAGTGCTGCTGAGACAGCCTAAGAGCAGCCTTGCCAAAATACACAGGTGTAACAAATCAGATTAAACTGCAGCATGGGATTCAGAACCTAGAACAACTCCCAGATAAGCTAATAAATCCATGGGTTTTATTAAAGTCAATCATGTCGTCTGGATCTCCCTGTCTGGAATAGAGGAGATCTTGAGGGTCTGGAAGTAGGGTATGTCTAACATGAATGACTCCAGAAAGTCACTTTTAGTTCCTGAACAAAATCAGTGTAGAAGTTAAAAAAAAGAAACAACTCTGCTTTATGTTTATTCCCCTGCGATGATTCATTTCACTTTAATTTAAAAAGTTTTGCACTTAAAAAAAAAAAAAAGAGATAAAAATAAATCTATGAAAGAGTCCAGATTGGTTATCTGTACATTTATAAAGAAAATGAATATAGCACAAATGGTTTCAAAGTTACAAAAGTGGACAGATGGCAGCACTGTTTTAGCCTCTGTTTGTGAAACAGAAGTCATTGATACAAGAACAAATTATCATCCCTTGATTATTTGTGGTAATTGCCCATCATGTTAAACACCAACTAATGGAAGGCACTGCTATTCTTCCAATTTCCCTTATTCTACAGGCTAAGCTGGCTCCCATTCAGTTTCTTTCAGGTTAAGGGTACACACTTGGATAGTTATTGTGGATGATGTGTTACGTGGTGCATCCGAGCATAAAGGCATCACCAAGGAAAGCTTTGATTAACTTCCACTGCTGAACTACTCATTTTCCTTGGCCTAAAAATAAAACCCCACAATCATTTCACTATGTGAAAGAAAATCTCTTGCACACAGAAATTAGGACATCTTCAAATTATCTCTTCCTCTCAGACTGGCAGTTTTCTTAAGGATGATCAGCTGAAATCTGGTGCTGTTCCTCAGGTTGGGAACAATGATGTAATTGCACATATTTTCCTACAGGATATTCAGCTTTACTCTGAATAAGGTTAAATCAAAGAAATTCCAGCAAATGATACACAAGGACTAGTTTGATGTAATATAGAATAAAATAAAAAAGTTTTAAAATTCTTAAGAAAATGTAAGGTAAAAGCAAACAAGAAACAACAATAACCACCTGATCATAATTAAGTATTTTGCAAACTGATTCAGAGACAAACAGAATTTTTCCTCTGTTGCATCCAACCACAAACAGGAATCCATCTGCAGCCTGTAAACATAAAGATACTGTGTTTCAAAACACACAATTAAAATAAACAATGAATAATAATGACTACAAGGAAGCACATTTTTAACCTGATTTTTAAAACCAAATACAAGAAAGCTGGAGAGGGACAAGAGGAAATGGCTTCAAACTGACAGGGAGTGGGTTTAGATTGTATACCAGGGAGAAATTGTTTCCTGTGGGGGTGGTGAGGCCCTGGTACAGGTGCCCAGAGAAGCTGTGGCTGCCCCATCCCTGGCAGTGTCCAAGGCCAGGCTGGATGGGGCTCTGAGCAACCTGGGATAGTGGAAGGTGTCCCTGCTCCCTGCCCATGGCAGGGGTTGGAATGAGATGAACTTTAAGGTCCCTTCCAACTCAGGCCATTCTGTGATTCTATAAGAAAAGCAATTAAGCTTGCAGGGACCAAATGAGGCCTTTAACCACACACAGCTAAAGTTTCTTAAACGCAGCTTTGGCCAAAGTCCAGCCTCTCTGGGGACACATTTACAGATCTTGGCAAAGCATTATTGCAGCAAAGGAAAAAAACCACAAACCTAGCTGTGAATGAGGTGTGTGGGTTTATGATGAAGTGTGCAAACAAGAGAGAAGATTTTATTCCAGGTATTTTCTGCACCTTTTTTGAAGTACATCTTTAAAAATGTACATGAAGGAGAGCCAACAACTGTGAGGATCTTCCTGCATAATTGGCAGCATTCTCTGCAGTTGCATGAAGATTTTTAAGAATAGATGTATTAAACAGGCAGACTGTACACAGATTATTGTCTTTTCCAGGGCTGCTGCCTGCCATGCTCCCAAACCATCTCTGCACACCTTCATGAAAGCCTGGATAGTGCACGGAGTTTAGAAATCAGTACAACAAAACACTTGCCTGAAGGAAAAGATGGGAGAAAAAGCACTGTCCAACTAAAAACTGAAGCTTTAACAAGGACATGATTTATGTGAGTTTCCTTCCACTTACCCTAAGGATTAACTGTCGCAGTTCATCATCCTTCAAAAATGAAGGTTTATACCGGACTTCTGAGTAGGAGCTACTGGAACCTGGAAAATGGATGATTCACAGAGATCATGTCAAAAGTTACAATTTAAATTCACTTTTAGCAGAGTTATACTTGTTTTGTCTTTCAGAATTTTTCTCTATGACTCCAACAGCTGAATTTAAACAATAATTCAAGGTTCTAGAAATTCTAATAAAATGAAAACAAATCGCAAATATACAGTGGTAATGAAAACAGACAGATAACCAGGTTTTTTCTTGCCCTTTACTTAACACAAACCAAGGAAACTTCTGCTCAGATATCATTAATATATTGCTAGAGAAATGGTATTATGAGAACTGAATTTTCTAGAAACATTTCATAGATATATTTTAGACTCTTAACTAAATTGTCTTTGCTGAAACTGAGTAATTCCAATATTATCAATTATCTTTTGGCATTTCATTAATACTATAAAGCTAACAATCAAAAAATCAGACTATTGTAATTAAACCAAATGTCTCACTAAATATAGTGAGACTGACTCACTGCATGTACTGTTCTAGCACCCATGGTAAGTACTCTATAAAATATTTTTTGTCCATTATATTTTTATCCATTACATTTTTATAATTTTTTCTTGTTACATTTTTTGAGGCAAGTAGCCGTTGAACATTTCAGCCAATTTCATCATTCACTATAACTCCACATAGTATCTTGTATTTTCTTAAACCATTTGTTTTGAGCTAAATAGAACTGTGCTAGGTGAAGTCCAGTTTTCACATCCTGTTGTTAAAATACAAATGCTTGAGCTGAAGATTTCTCGTTTAAACTGCAAGTGCAGTTACTGCCCTGCTGGTTTGTCACATTATTTCTTCATGCAAAACTCTCAGCCTGCTTAGGCCTTTAGAAAACTCTCTATACCTGAGCCATTCTATGATTCTATTACTGTCAAGGTAGCAACATAATTAATTTTCTACATTTCTTTGACACAAAACTAACTGGCTTCTCATTAGACCTGTTTATTCATAATCAGTGGGTTTTGCAATGCAGAGGGTCTTTGATCTTTGCTTAGAGTTGACCAAATTATTCTTCTGAAACGGTGGTGCCAAACCCCCCAAATATTGTGTGCAGCTGATAAACTCTGCAATATGCATCTTGTATTTGGATATATTTTTTAGGGAGGGAGTAAAAAAAAAGTCCCAAAACCTAGTAATAGCAAAAGGAGAGCAAGACTATTTCTTGGGTTAATCCCCACGCTAAACCATTCCCTAAGATCATGATTAACTTTGCTCACTGACTGAGGCTGTCAGAAGTTTCTGTTTCTTGCTACTCTCTAACATGTGAGGGTTTTTAAGACTTCAACATAACCAAACTCATTGACATTTTGTTAAAATATGTTCCATCTTGCAACTTTCCCTTTGACTCCTGTACTTTCTAAAAAGAATTAAGGAGTGACCCAAGAGCAAGGCATGCCCTGAGCATGCACACAAAATACTGGACTGAAGGGTGGCTTTTTTTCTGCTATACTAAGCAAAAATTTTAAATTAAGTTCTGACAGCTACAGACACGTACATTTAAATGGGGAGCAGAGTCGGAACGAAATACAGTAAGGAAATGTAAAATAAAATACTCTTGGTTTATTTAAAATCCAGGAAGATACGCACTGTAACTCCTACTAGAGCAAGGATTTACAGGATGATGTTTCCTAAACTCACCTTTTAAAGATTTCAAGTGCTGCACAGCCATCCGTAGCACTGTGAGTTTGTCCAGCTTTCGGGCCATGGGATTGCACTGTGGTATCATGGCAGACAATTCCTCTATTAAATTATTCATTTTGTCTCTTCTTCTTTTCTCTGTTTGACTATGAGCCTCTCTAAGAAGAAAAATTCTTTTTAAAGAGTGATGTAGAACACATGATTTTCCCCATAATATTCAGTTCCATTTTGGGAATGAAACTACCACCAGTACTACTGCACTGAAACATTTTTCATATGCTACTTGTACTGGACAATTGAATTGGATTCACTTCAACAAAGACAAAATGGTCCCAATAATGATATAAAATACTGAGGAGAAGAGATAAGCAACAATTTGATTATATTTGGCAGGAACAAGAGGTTATGAAGACTTATAAAAGTTAAACCCTTCCTGTGACCCTTGCCATGCAAGTGATGACTTGGACACCTCAGTGTATCCCAGAGAACTCTTGAAGTCATTGGGAATCAATGAAAGACATTCCTGCTCCCACCTCTGCCTGGCCTGTGTAACTAAGAGGGGATGTTCATTCTGCCTTTTAATAAACCCCACAGCAATAAACAGTACTTTTCCAATGCTCCTAAGAGATGGAGTGGAAACTGAAAAAAAAGCCGTGCCTCTTGTAATTTACCAGAAGCATCTCAGAAAGCTTTCCCTTTCCTGATAAAGTACAAAGGCTGTCTCAGGTTTCATCTCTTGGTAAGCCTGTCAAGAACTCAGCCACAGAAAGAGCTTCTCTTCTAGGCCACATGACTGCACATCACAAGTGCATTTACAGCTCAGGCCACCTTTTCTTTACTACTTTCTAGTGCATTAAGCCAGCTTTTCAGCCCATCTCCTCCCCTCTACCACCCTCCAGCAGATCAAGGAAAGTTTCATTCACTCTCTTCCTCCTTATAGAAAGACAAGCCAGCCACTCAATTAAAACCCAGATGATTTTTTTTTGCCAGACATAGTAGTATAGTTATGCAAAATGAGGAATAAATTTTGGTTATTTGATCTCCAAAACTTTTCCTCGTTGGCATACTGCAACAGAAGTTATTAAAGGTAATAAAGTTAACTACACCCAACCTGTTGAGAAAGAACAAAGTACAGTTTTAAAGATCTGGCTACTATTTTAATTATTTTTTTCAAAAAAAGAACGAATGCCTTCATCACACAACTAATCCTGAGTCATTCTGCCAGGCATTCAGCTTTTCTCTCTCGAAAGCCTTTTTTTAGATTTAATTTTTTGAGTTATGCTCAGATCTATGGGTTCACCCAACTCTTCCTTTATGTCAGGTAGGAACAATCAAGTAATATCCTGTGTTTGCTCCTTGAACTGTGAACCTCAGGAAGACAGATACAAGCATTCCAGGAAAGGGAACAACCTTCCACATCTCTGAGGGTCAATAAGGAGTTATAAAAACTGAACAGGCAGGTGCAGAAATTCAGGGGATGACTGGATGATTGAAAAAGCCTTCTGTTGCTTGCCCCAGCCACATAGGCAAAGGGAGAAAAGCAGGTTCCACATTAAGCTTGAGACAAGAAATACTGGAAGGAGATAACTGATAAGCAAACCTCCAGAGATCTTTGTACTGATTCTTTTCCCCTCCACCTAATGCACCAAAAAAGTAAGGGAAAAAAGTTAACAATACCACATAAAAGCCATTAAAGCAATGTACAACAAGCTTATAGAGCAATCTGGGATGCTCTGTGAAGAAAAAATAATTTTGAAGTGAAACTGTAAATATATCTTGGAACAGTTTAGTTTCTTTAATTTTGTTTCAATTACAGGAACACTTCATAATTACTAGCTAGCATACTATATAAATAATACTTCTGACAGCATGTTGAGTGGATTATGTATTTCTGGTTTGACATCTCTGCTCACAGGAAAAATGAAAGACTTATTTTTAAATCGACTTTACAGCACAGCTCTGGTTTTACTACGTGGTTTGTCTGTAGTTTAAAATATTTGTTTGGCTGAACTGTGGTCACACAACATTTCAAATCTTGCAAGTGCTCTACGTGAATTTCAGTTTATGTGAATTCAAAGTTCAATGGCAAAACTTGAATAATTCCCTACACAAAAGCTTGTTCTAGAACAAAAAAATTTGTTGTGCTTTAGACAAATCCATTTCCATGTGGGATAAATTCTAAATACTCCAGAAGATTCTAGACAAATCTAGAAAAAAACAATTCTCAAATTCATACAGATGAAGGATCAGCTCCTTATATATGACTTGGGTGTACTGCATTTAATTATTAAAAAATTCAACCTCATGTTTTTGCTAAACCATCTGCAAGCCTGCAGCAACTTTTATCAAAGTTATTAGCAAATAAAATCCTCAAGGAGGCTTTAAAAATTGCTATACATTTAGCAAGGAAAAGGAAAAGGAAACGTTTACTGTCAAATATTTGGTCGTTTCAATGAATATTACCCACAAACTCATATTTTACTATTGTGAATCTCAGTATTCACTAACAAAATGTATTTCTATTGAAAATTAGTACCTGAAATCTTTTACTTTAACATGTTCTTCATCTTCACTCCTAGAAAAAACAAGATACAGACTTTTACCTTACATATTTAACTAGGCACTTCTTTCCTCCCACAAATTCCAGAAGATAGAAAATGCTACAAATTTACTGTGGCTCCAGCAAAAGCAAACCCACAAAATCACTAAACCATAACTGACCCAGCAAGTGATGCATAACAGAAAGAGACCAGAGCACAGCTGGCAATATTCACAGTTGTGTGAACATATTAAAGGGATAGTTCATAATTATGGAGCCTTTTTTATTCTGGAGACAACACTATTGGAACATTCAAATAACTTAAGACTAGACCTGATTTTATTTTCTTGTTTAAAATTTTAAAAGAGAGATTATCTATTTAGGTTTTTATTTCTAATACCTTACTGTCAAATTATAAAATAAGCAATCCTAAATCATATTTTTTAAAGAACAAAAAAAAACCCACCTAAGCTATTTTCCATACAGCAATGACTGGGAAGTCATAAAGTAATAACATTGTAAATTAAATACAGTTATAAGTGTCTGCAGCACAATAAAAACTCTGCAGTGTGGCGAAACAGGAAACTAACAAGGATGATTCAAACAAGGGCAATGAGCTTTTCTTTCCCAATGACCACTGACTGCACTGTTCACCACTCTTTGTGAAGAATTCATGGCCTTGGTACTGTGAGGATAAAGAGGAGAGGCCAAGCAGGCAGCAGCTGTCCCCCATGAGGAAGCAGGAGGATCCTTGGGGATTACAGCTTGAGGAAAGGTGCCAAAAGCTGCTGTCACCTGTAACTGAGCACTGACCCCAGTGAGGATCCAGAAGCCAAATTAACAGTGCAGAATCTGGGATTTCACTGGAACCCAGCAATCTTCTAGATAGTTTGATAAACCCAAACACAGGAGGAAGTTTGGCTCACAACACCAAGACTTTCATTCATTGAAATTGTTTCAGATTTAGATGAGTTAGCAATAACTAATATTTTCCTTCCATTATAACAGAAACTTATGAGAAATATCCATATATTGTGAATTCCAAATGAATTTACATTCTCTGACCATAAGAGAAGAGCCAGACCAGCGACAATGCAGCATGTGCCCTATCAATTAACTTTCCTTCTCCCTCAGGAGCTCCACTTGGGGAATAAATCTAGCACAAATTTGCTGCTCAAGCAATCAGTCCCAGCCTTCAATGGATTTTTATAGCCTCTGTCCTAACAGCTGTGGTGTTGCTGATATGAATAGCTAAATTAAAACTACCTTGACTACATGAACAGAGGGTGAAATTCCACTTTGTAGTTATAATGTGGGTATATTTAATTGGTACTACAAAGGACAGAATGGGTATCAATCAGAAAAAAAAAAAAAAAAGAATAGCAGGTTTTCTCAACTTTCTCGATTGATTTATTAAATATACTTCCCCATTTCTTCTAAAATGGAAGCAAATGTCTTAAAGACAGAAAAGGAGGTTTTTTAGACACACTTCCCACCATGAACACCATGGAAAAATCCATGAAGAAACAACCAATTTAACCCCAAAGGAAGATTTTTACACTACCCTTTAAGCTATGTACCAAGGAGTGACTTCCCTGCAGAAAGGGAGCTGGAGGTGCTGGCTGACAGCAGGCCCAGTTTAAGGCAGTCAGAGGCCAAACCACATCCTGGGCTCATCAAACACCAGATGGACACAGAGGTGATTATCCTGCTGTCCTCAGCACCTTCACCTTGAATAGTGTGTGCACTTCTGAGGCCCAAAACGTGAGAAGGTGTTTGGTGAAGATGGGAAAGTCCCTGAATAAATTCAGAGGAAGGCAACAACGCTGATGAAAGGGATAGAAGGAATGTCCTGTGGGCAGTGGCCAAGGACTCCTGGTTTGTCTAGCTGGGAGAAAAGGAGGCTGAGGCCACCTCCTTGCTCTCTGCAGCTTCCTGAGGAAGGGAAGTGCACAGAGACGTGCTGAGCTCTTCTCCCAGCTATCCAAGGATAGGACACAAGGGAATGGTTTAAAGCTCTGCAGGGGAGGTCTAGACTGGACATTAGGAAGCATTTCTGTACCAAGAAAGTGGGGAAACACTGGAACAGACTTCCTAGAAAGAGGTGGCCTCTCTCTAGGAAGCCTGTCTCTGGGACGACCTAGGCCTGGCAGAGTTTGGAAGGCATTTGGACAATGCCCTTTACAATGTGCCCTAACCTTTGGTCAGCCCTGAAGTGCTCAGGCTGTTGGACTGGATGATCACTGTGGTTTCCTTCCAAGTGAAACAGTCTATTCTATAAAAACACTGCATGGCTACTTACAAACAAACATTACCCAAGTAAGGTATCCTGTAGGGACACATATTGAGAAAGCAAGAAAATTACAGCCTGAAAAATATTCCAGGCTGGAGCTTGTCAGCTCTGTTCCCAGCTGATAAGCAGGTCCAGCTTAAAGTTAGGGAGAATTTCTCCCAGGGTGATAATTTGGTCAAAATAAAAAGGAATTAATAACAAGATAGAACACCTGTTCTGCTGTGTGACCAGGCTCTGGGAATGGGGTGTCTTCTCTCTGAACCAATCACCTTTTCTCTACTCTTGGAATTGCGAGTCATGATATAAAACAAAATGTGTTTCTGAATAAACTTGTCTCTTTCTTCCTGTAATGAAAGACGACCATGTAGCTGTGCATCTTATTTCCACTGCACTTAAAGGGTTAAAACCCCTTTCCACAGCTACAGTATCCAGCTAGAGAAAAAGAAAATGCTACAAAGTAATCATGTAATTAACAACCCTCTGGGTACAATATTCCACAAAGGGTTGGCTTATGCTGCATAGCCACCTTGTAACAACATTTTTTTAAACACAGTTATTATAGTTCTAATATAAAACGCACTTGAAAAGGTTAAAACAACCAAACAAAAATTTTACATTCACCAGTCCTAGAAGACTATGAGAGCTTTCCTTTGCCTCCCTAAGTCTTTTGATTGAACTGGTATTTTTCACTCCTTCCTATTCTAAACTTCAATCAATACTAACAAGTCTGGTAGAGCTGGAAACAGAGCATCATCTTAGAAAGAACTATCAGAAATCCTTAACACTGGATGGACCTGTCCATCCTGTTCCTTAGCTGGAGGTTTATCACCTTGTGCTGTACACAGACCTGCCCTGGGATGAAGCACTCCTCAAGGAACCCCACAGCTCATCTAGGCAAACAGACAAATTCACAGAACTCAAAACAAAAATGGATTCATTCATAAAAATTACCTTTTCTGAGGATCACCATCAACTTCAACTGTATCCCTGCAGAAACAGATCATAAAGAAAGCAAGATGCAGTTTGAAGCACAACAAGATAACTTGATAGATCCAAAAAACCAAAGTCACAGAAAAAATTTAATGGTAACTCCACTTGATTGGTTATTTTCAGCAATATCATTAGTACTAGAACCTAATTACTACTTCTTATTAGCCAATACTTTTTCAATTAATTTTTTCAACTTGGACATTAATTTTTTTTTATCAGAGAGAGCCAAACTTCAGGGAAACATTACTGAGGAACCAACACTTTTATTGAACAGGTAAAAATTAACAAGTGCTACTGAAAAAGGATGGAGACACTTTTTTTTCCCCCAGAAACGAACATATTGCTGGAGTCTTCAGTTATGCACACGATATACTTGAATCTCCAAGTTGACAATTACATCAACACCCACAGTACAGATACACTCTGCAGATCAGTGGACTACATATGGAAGAAGCAGTGATTAAACAGAATTGCTTTAATAATCACAAATACACGTAAATCTCCTATTTTCCACCTTTTTAAATATGGATTTTCCATACTAGTTTGGAGATATTTGTAGTGCCTTGTGCCTCTCACTTCTGCCTGATTTACACAGCTTTGAACAGATCACTTTTTTGATTAACTGGCATCTGTTTGTCAGTTACAGAACAGGATAAAACAGTTGCCAGTGTCACCTCAGCAGTCAGGTCTGACCCACTTAAAAAGACTGAGCATTACAAGAGGACAGTCCCCATTTTTAGGTCATGGGTCTGTCTCCACATTTAAGGAAATGGCTGCTCTGGTCACTGAAGCAGCAGTTCTACATCAAACAACTTAACCAGTAATCTTGTTCCATGCTTGAAGGTAAAATTCTAGCATGTACCTGGGAGACTTCAAGCAACTTAAGAACTTGCCTTTACTAGTAGGAAAAGAAGGAGAAAAAAAAAAAACTCTAAAAAATTAGGATTAAAATTTCAACATTAGAGGCACATTATCCAGACAATTCAGACCAGGAAATGGAATAACAGAATCCTACATATATATTCCTTGGATTTAAGGATTATTTTTTCTATTTTTAATAATTGGGGATTGTCACAGAACACATTTGGAAGATATGGTAAGTTTAATGGTAATAAACAAAGGACTAAAAAGGAGGAAGGAAGAGGAAAAGGAAAGGCAGCGACCATGTTGCATAAATAACAGATGAATGTCTGAGATTTAGGCTGAGACACAGAGATTGGATTCACTTACTGGTTATCAGAATCACTTCCCTTGCGTTTCCTTGGAATGTCGGGCATGGCAGCATTGAAAGAAGTGGTGGTGGCAGGTTTAGTGACTGGATTCATGAGGCTGGGCCCTCCACAGGAAACACACGGGCTCCCATCCACGGAGAACTTCTCTGTCAGTGAGAATAAAGGCTCAGTGTCCAGCAAGAGCTGCAGCACTCTGCATCCATTCTCATCCTCATCGTGACAAAAAGCTGTCTGTGAGTGGCTTCTGTGTCTCTGACACAAAAAGCCAAGGCTGCACTGCCACAAGCCAAGTCCAGCAGAGAGTGCACCACCTTCTCACAGAGCTGCAATGATCTCACCAACCCAATCCAACCAAGGCAATATAAAACAGCTCTCCCCTCACACAACCTCTGCACTTAAGTGCCCCAGTACCTCAGACATCCTTCTGCAAAATCACCACCTGTGCCATTTGTCAGCAGATCAAAATACTGTGGCTCAAACTAAATAAATATTAAAAATATATTATGAACTATGTTTTTTAATTAAGCGGGATATCCAAAAAAAGGAAGTTTGCTATAATCATAATCCTGACATAAAATCCGCAACTACACAGAACATCTGCCATGGAAGTTGGAAGAGTCTCAAAAATTTGTCATGCTCCTTTCACAATCCTCCTCTTTTAAGGAAAACTGTTGTTTCTGGGAAGTACAGAAAAGAAGTCACAAGCCAAAGGAATCCTAGCAACCTACTGGGAAAGGAGAACAGTCTCAAGGAACATAAGCACTATTCCATTGTTTTTCTGTCTCAACACAGCTATCACAAAGAATCACCCAGCTGATGTTTAGGCAAAGATTTAACCGTGTTTGAGGAAATGTAGGAACTTCTTTAGACTTCATGTGCCAGTGAGGACAGATGAGAGATGAAGAGATGTCATTTAAGGAAGTGAGCATCTCCTGCTTCTAGCACAGAGCAAAATCCAAGAGGAGTACTTTGAAAATCCAAAGAATAAAAACTGGATGCTTTCTTGTGAGCTTTCTCTATTTTTTAAGCATCTGTGCTGTTTGCAAAAGTGTAGAGATGTGCAAAAAACAATGATACAAAGGATATTTTTCCCCTCTTAGACATAAACATATCTCACAGCAGAAAAATGACCTTCTAGGTTTTCATTTTGTGTTGGAATACAGGTCTGGAGAGTTAAATGAAAATAGGCTAATACTCCAACAACAGCTTGCCTGGTCTTCCACTAATCCTCTCTCTATCAAATCAGACAACACAAAGTCAGCCCCTGTTTTATTTTAGAAAGCTCTTTAACTCATTAAGTCACACAGGAAGTTTCAAAAAAAGAGCTGGAAACAAAGAATCAACAAATACTTGATAAATAAGTGACAATGTTTGGACATCAGCGACAGCAAGAAAATCGAGTTATTTCAAATATACTTCATATTCAAATTAGGCATGTTAAAATATCTTAAAAGAAATTACATGATAAATACTGTAAGTATTTATATAAGACAGTGGTAGATGTCTGAAAATTTTTTATGATGAATCTCCCTAAAAGTCTCGGTTTATATTTCTGTTATTAACACAATTCCAAAACAAACAAAAAATGCCGACGAATCTAAAGGAGCTGTTTATTTTACAAAAGCAGTTTTAATTCGCCCAGGTCACAGCATCCTGTAATTCCTGATTAAGCTATTGAAGTATAATCAGTCTTGATGAATATTCATAAAAGAGTACTTACTAAACTGCAACCTACATGGTTCCAAGACCAGAATGCCTTCAGCACAAGAGATCCCTTGGTCCTGGAACAAAGCAGGACAGCACAGACCCACTGACCTAAATACTGCTCTGCACACAGATGGCCAGCCTGCTTTCCAAACACTTCGCTTCAAAGGAACAAAATCCAAGGCCTTTTTTTACAGATTTTCCAATTTATCTTCAATATTATTAAACAACTGTTTTCAATATTATTAAACAAGTGTTTTCCCTCATACCCAAGCAACAAATTCTGAATATTGCACTTATCTCTTCTGCCTTTACTAACAACACCCATTTTCGTTATTCTTAACTGAGAAAAATAAAATATGTTCAGATTACCAGTAACAGTGACCCATTAAGAAGTTCTAGATAATTATTAGGTGATGAATTGGATCTTTAACGCAATCCCTGGACAAAATAAATGCCACTACCATGGGTGGCTGATCTTGGACAAAAAAATAAGGTTAAGAATCTGTACTGATCCCTGACATGCTCTGCATGCAGCTTATATTCTTTTTTTATATATATATTCTTAAAAGACCCATGAACCAAACCTAAACCTTCACCAACAATGTAACAGAAAACAAACAGAAATAAATATAAAGCTTCAGAACAACCAAGCATAGCAGAACAGTGGAGTTGAACAGAAGGGAGCAAATCTTTTTAATACCTACCACTCACTGAGCAAGAAGTGAGCAGAAACAGCTCCTAAAGCCAAGGCAGCTTTGAGAAGTCAGGAAAGGTGATGGAAAATAATCTCTGAGGGCTCCATAACAGCCATCATTATGACACTGGATGATTCCAGGGGCTCACTCTCTCCCTGGAGTGTCCCAGCCTTGTGTAGGCTGTGATGAAAGATTTCTTTCCCTCTCTGGCTACAGCACTTTGGGAGAGCTGGATAAAGGATTTCATAATCTTTGAGTTCACAAACAGAACGGTCTAGAACGTTCCCCAATAACCAGGGTGGGCTTCTATGATCGGAAAAAGTTGGATTTTTACCTGTCATTTGAGCACCTGGCTCAATTTCTTATATTTACATTTTCTGTGAATATTTTCATACCACTGACATCAAAAAACACCTTGAAATCAATCCAAATTTTGAGGCACACTTGCTTCACGAAAAATAATATCCAGAAAGACCAATCTTTCTTACAAGTTGATGTTTCTATAAAACCAAAATCATTAGTAAATGCTAAAACTACTAGAAAGTTTAAGTCAACTAGAGATGTTTTGTTTTACCACCCTAAAGGCTGTTACTTACACTAGTCTGATTTGCAAGCCAAATAAAATTCCAGCTGAGAAATGGCATTTTTATTACTGCTCATTCCATTGCTAATGCCCTGGAATACTGATAACCAGATTTTAATGGCAAGTAAACAGTTCCTCAAATACATGTCTATTATAATGTCTAATATAATCTATGTCTGTCTCTCAGCATTAAGCCTCTATCCTTATCTATATTAAAAAAATATTTTTAAAGCATGTTATGCCCATTGGGACAGATGAAAATAATGAGAATAATACAGGAACTCCCCACTGGAATAATTCCCTCTGTGAAAAAGCAAAGACCATCCAAACAGTACAAATACATATGGAAAATAGCTCCTTCCCACTAAGTGTATCAGAAATGAAAAATAAACCTGTTAGTTCAACATTAATTTTATTAGTATTTCATAACTGGGCAAACAAGATATTTAAGGGATGGTTATCAAGATAAACTTCTCATAACAAGAGCATCCTCTATTCTGTTTTTCTCCATGGAAAAGAAATAATAATTAGAATCCCCAAGGGGTTGGCAAAGAAGGGAACAACTGCAAAGGAGCTGCATGAAACTGCTGTTTGAGGGAGAGATAAAGACAAACAAAATCAGCCATATTGCTGTGTCAGCAAAGTTTCTGTGTCAATCCCTTGCAATGCATTGAGAAACAAGGCTTGGGAGACTCCACATTTTTCCAATTACTGACAATAATATTTTCTAAGCCCATGCCACATTCCTGAGCTGTTTTCTCTACCAATAGTTTTAAAGTTTTCAATTCCTAAGCAAACACAAGCTTTTAGGAAAGGTTTATGGCCAAACTCCACCAGCCATAAAAAGGGAGATTCATCTGAACCAATAATGATGTCCATTCTGGTCCCTCTTGGAGGGAGGAAGACATTTCTAGGGTGATTCATCTCTCCCCAGAATAGATTCCTACATTTGGCTAGAAGAAATAAAACAGTTCTAGGGTGATTCATCTCAATCTAAAATAGATTCCTACAGTTGGTTAGATGAGATAGAGCCCAAGAGTGCCTATCTCTAGTCAGTAATTACACAGGGACCAAAGGAACTGCCTCAGACTTGGACATCTAAAGATATGTGAGATGAAACCCACCCCAAGTACAGAAATATCACACAATTCTTAAAACATAGCAGCCACAGACAGCACCTGTTTGCATCACATGCAAAAAGTTCAAGCCCAAGACAGGCTTTCTAAATTATTGGCCTAATTAGGCACTCCCTCAAGACCACACACTCCTAGCAAGGTTAGCTTTTCTGTCTGGGTTTGCAGGATACATATTAGCTATCCAAAAATCAGCAGGAAGATACAAGTCATGCAGTATTAATAAATTAATTAATTAATTAGAAGGGCTGACAGTCAGCCCTCATTTAGCCAGTTTAAAAAAGAACATCCAAATTCAGCTACCAAGATATTACAGTAAAATGGGCTTGAAATAAAGTATCATTGAAGAAGTACATTTATAAAGCTTATGGTGACACTTTGCATAGTCTGGGAGTGAGACTTGCAGTAATGTGGCAGCTCTGCAGCTGCCTAAATTAATAAAGTGTTAGCACTGACCCAACCTTTCCAAAAATAAGGAACTTTTAATCCAGATTCCTATTTTGAAATACTTTGAAAGAAGAGAAGAAAGAGGCTGCTTGAAATTCAGATTTCTAAGATCATGAACACCACTAAAATGTGTATTTTCCAAAGGTATGTACCTGGTATGCACAAAACCCTTCAGCTAGGAATCTGAGCTTTGCCAAGTTTAAAGAACTCCAGATTCTGGTAGAAGTGACTGTGAAGTGGCACCTGAGGGCTGTGCAGCCCAGCCAGAGCAGCTCCTTTTAGACTGTAAAGTTCTGTCGCAATCAACTGGCTTTTTGGGCCTTTTTTTTTTTGCTTGTTTGGTTTTGGGGTTCCTTGGTTTGTTTTTTTTTTTTTTTTGGTTGGTTGTTTTTTTTGGTTTTGGGGTTTTTTGTTTTGTTTTGTTGTTGTTTGTTCATGTTTTATTTTGTTTTTTTTGGGTTTTGTTTTGTTGTTTGGTTTTTTGTTTTGTTTTGTTTGTTTTGGGGTTTTTTTGGTTTTGTTTTTTTTTTTCTGGTTCAGGTTTTTTTGTTGTTTGTTTTGGTTAGGTTTTTTTTGTTTGGTTTTGTGTCTTTTTTAAGATGTGAGATGGAGCAGCTCTGCTGGGAGGAAAGGCTCAGGGAATGGGGATTGTTCAGCCTGGAGAGGAGAAGGCTTTGGGGTGACCTCACTGTGGCCTTCCAGTGCCTGAAGGGAGCCCACAGGAAAGATGGAGAGAGACTCTTGACAAGGGCCTGCAGTGACAGGACAAGGGGCAATGGCTTCACACTGACAGAGGCAAATAACTCCACACCATGTAAATTGTTTTATTTTTCTATGGAGTTACTTTTCTAAAATTTCAGTTTATTTTCATGAATTCTTGCTGCATATATTCATTAGTGAGTGTGAAAATGACACACACAGCCTACACACATACAGCAGTACATGAGAAAGTTAGAGGTGCTGTGATATCAGTTGGAGGTCCTGCACATCTGAACACCTATAAAACAAAGAACCATATTTTCTATACATAGCTGAGAGTTGTACTAATTAATTCTTTGAATGTACTAATTTTAGACTTTTAAAATATGCCATGAAAAGCATCTTCAAACTACTTACAGCAAGTCTGGCATCAAGATCATCACCTACAGAACCTCATATTGGAAGATGGGACAACAATCTTTGGAAAGAGGTCCTGAAAATAGTAGAAATGTATGGACTAAAGCAGCTTATTCCTTCCCCAAATTTTATAAGCATGTGTAATGCAGGAGCAAGACAGAGAGAATTCAGCAATGAAAGCATCTCATGAACAACACTATCCAGAGTATAAACTCTTCTATGTTAAGAACTTTGGATTTGGTTTTAATTTCACAAAATAAAAAAAGGAAAAATTAAAACATTCTGAATTACAAACATTTAAATCAAATAATAACACAGGCAACTGATTACTCTCTGCTTCTATTTTTACTTGTTTTCATCACCTGGAAGAGAAGCAGTCAAGAATCACAACTTACCACTTGAATAACACATTTACTTAACAGATTGGAAACACAAAATATTTGGCCAAAGCTATTAGTGTACTAAAAAGTAAAACAAGGCAGGAACCAGCTAATGAAAAGATCCTCCCCAAGGCCTGGAAAGGGGACCCTGCTTTCCCAGGCACTTTCATGTTCACACCAGGTAGAAAGCACTGATAGGAATCAAGAGTCTCATATATCATAGTTCACTTCTGAAAAAAAAAAAAAAAAAAAACAAAAAAACAACAACAAAAAACCAAACAAAAAGCAAAACACAAATCCTCTCCAATTATATACTCCTACTGGAATGGTGGATAGTTGTTTTCTTGTAAGTTTTGGAATAATATGATTGCAGAATGCTGAGTCCTAGCAAGACAGCTGCAGAACTTCCATGGTTTTAGCTGGCCCTGCAGTCCAAACAGGGAATTTTAAAAATTTCACAATGATTCACTTTCAAAATCATGCACCAAATTATTTCTTCTTAGAATGAATTTGATTCTTGGATGTGAACCATCCAGTTTAGAGTTTGTTTTTCATAATGTGTAAATGTACCAACAAGTAAAAAAAAAACAAAAAAAACCCAAATCTAAAATCTATTAGGCAGGTTACTTTAGTGTGGACCTACCCCACAAACAATTAAGATACTTTTGCCTTAAAAACAAAGAAATCCAGAACTTGTTTCTTTAAAATGCACTAAAAGAACAGGTATAAACATAGGCAGCAGAAAAAAGCAGGGATGGGGGTTTATCTCACAATAAAACATGAAAGCCTATGGTTCACTGATTTCCCAAATCTACTTGTAAATGGAAATGCCTGTGTATTTGGAGGTCTCATTTTGATGATTTTCTTTCCTTTCAGTATATGCATGACATAGAAACAATAAATCTTAAGTTTTAAGCACAGTTTAGCAGACTGCAAAAAACACTACAAAGAAATCCCACCAACACTTGGTTTTCAAACACTACATTATTTGCCCCAAAATTTTACAACAGTATTTATAAACAATCAAGCAGCACAGACAGAAACATGTCAAGGATGTGAGACAACCAGGATCCCCACACACATTAAAACACACATAACCCAAGAGGCATTTTGAAAACAACGACTAAACCTAGAAGAATTGGTGCTAACTACACAGAACTGCACTGATGGCTCAGGAGGGACTGGACCATTTCTGTTTCCCCACATCCCTTGTAAAACACTCCCTTCTCCCCGGAGAGGGGAAGCACCCTACTCGTTTCCAAGCAGGAACACGAGCAGCAGCTGGTGGTTTACAACCAGCCTTGATTTAGTACCAGAAACTTATGATTAAAAACACGGAAAGATCAAACCTTGGTCGCCATACAAGCGTGGGCATACACATACACACACACACAGAAAAGCCAGTATCACTATACCTAAAATACTAAATTATGTTTACCTACCAAAAAAAAAAAAAAAATCATACTAGAGTTTTAGGAAGGCAAGGCTAAATGGGTACCAAAAACAGTGAACTACTAACTAAGTTTAAAAATAAAATTAAAAAAACAAACAGAGATTTTCAGTGCACTTCACATCAGTATGATGATGACACATCTGTCACAGCAATACAGCACAGTGACCATCACACAGGCGGATGCCAAGGGGACGGCGCCAGGCTCTTTTCACCGCTGCCCAGGGACAGGACAAGGAGCAATGGACAAACTAAACACAAGAAGTTTCACCTCAGTGAGAGGAAGAACTTCTGCACACTGAGGGTGGCAGAGCCCTGGAACAGCTGCCCAAGGGAGGGCCTGGAGTCTCCCTCTCTGGGGACATTCCAACCCCACCTGGACAAGCTCCTGTGTCACCTGCTCCAGGTGACCCTGCCTGGGCACGGGGGTGACTGGACCATCTCCAGAGGTCTTTTCCAACCCCATTCCGTGATTGAAGGTTTCCGTGTGGGCGCTCCGGGTACCTCCACTGAACTCCACTGAGCGGGAGCAGCGAGCGAGGAGCGTCCAGCGGGAATCAGCCACAAACCCGAGCGGCCCCGGAGCGGCACCGGGCACAGGAGCAGCCCCGAGCGCCCTCACGGAAAGGCGGCAATGCCCCAGGGGCACCAGCCGCACAACAACACCCGCCCGTGCCACATCACCGAGGCGAGCGGACAGACAGACAGACAGAAACAGACAGGCAGAAACAGACAGGCAGATACACCCCACACACGACACCCGCCATCGTCCCCCACGCCCGGAGCAACGCGCGGGAGGGGTGAGGGAGACGGGGCACCCCCCGCCCGCTCCTCGGGCGGACCCGCTCCCACCTTCCGCCGCCCGCCGCTCCTCCTCGGCGCCCTCGGCGCTTCCCGCTCCTGCTTCGGCCATGGCGGGCGGCCCCCGTGCGCCGCTCCACAGCGCCCCCGGCACCGCCGGCATGCAGGGGGTGAGCTGAGGTGAGCAGAGGAGGAGCCGGCGGCACCGGGGAGGGACCGCGGGCTGCCCCGCCGCCCCCCCCCCAGCGCCCCCGCCCCGCCATGTTCCCGCCCCGGCCGCGCGCCGCCTCTCGCGAGATGTGCGGCCATGGCGGCGCCCCTCAGGGCCGCCTCGCACATTGGGCTCGGTCCCCGGCGTGCAGAGAGCCCGCAGCTTCCATTACAGAAGTGCAGCAAAAGCCAGTTACTCGGGAGAAACACCGATGGCTTAGTCCAGTGCTTGCCCAAGCCTGGGGGCTCTGTGGTAATACAGCAAATCAAGCACTGCCGCCTTTTTCATGCCGTTGTTTATACACGGAAATTTAGACTTAGTAAGTTTCAAAGCACAGCATCTCTTTTAGGGTTGTTTAGGATTTTCTGTGTAAGTTTCCCATGCAGCTGACTTCTACGCATGTCTTCACCTGGGCAGGATCTTTTTGACACAGACGTGAATTTTTTTGTGTTATAATGAATGTAATTCAGCTGTAGAACGAATTGACCTGGAGTATTTTGCCAAGTTTGTGATATATATACAGACATAAATCAACACTGATTTACTACATCGTTAAAACATTTTAGTTCCAGGATGTCCTTGAGTAAGGGATGCTGGCAGCTGCCTCTTCCAATGGTTAGATCTTCATTCTTGCTGGTTAGGCTTGGAAGTATACAAAGGTGAAAGAATATCCTGACTCAAGATAATCTTGACATATTCCCCATTTTGCAACTCTTGGGCTGGGCAGGGCTGGTGTTCTTTCTCTGGGTGCTGTACAGAGGATGCTTCATCTGAGGAAGGGTCAGGATCTTGGAATAGAGGCAGAGACCTCTATAAGTGGCCAGAGAGCAGTCACATCTATCAATGAAAAGTAGCATAAAACAGGGATCACTTTCACCAGTGTATTGAATTGTGTTAGCAGACCTGTAGCTGGATTTTGGCAGTGCCAGGAGTGCCGAGGAGCGAGGTGACTCTGCCTGTCACAGTGCTCTGGTTCACACCCTGGAGCATTGGTGTGAGCGAGGTGTGCTCCTTCTGCACAAAGACCTCAAGGTGCACCTGTAAAGATCAGTGTGTTCCAGCTGTTCCCAGGCATTCCTTCCCTCTAGATCCCACTAGAACCAGTCCAAAAGGAAACCTGTACAGTGGGCATGGACCTCAGCAGTGCCTCTTCCACATGACAGAGCCTCTCTCGCTGTCCTGCCCTGCGTTGGTGCAGCCTGTGCCTGCTCAGTTCCACTTGGAGCTGTGACAGGAGAGGCTTTTGCTCAAGCACATGAATCCTGACCTGTGCCATCTCCATGGGCTCCACAGATGCTGCTTCTCTCACAGTGTAAGAAAACTCTAAAGCTCTCAGAGAATGTCCAGAGTAGGGTTATGGAGATGATGGTGAAGGACCTGGAGGTGAGGCCACACAAGGAGCAGCTGAGGACACTTGGTCAGTTCAGCTGCAGAAGAGCAGACTGAGGTCAGAGCTCACAGCAGTTCTGCAGCTTCCTCACAAGGGGAAGAGAAGGGACAGGCTCTGATCTCTGCTTTGTGTGACCAGGGACAGGACCCAGGGAATGGCTGGAGCTGTGTCAGGGGAAGGTTAGGGTGGATTTCAGGAAAAGTTTCTTCTCCCAGAGGGTGTTGGGCACTGAACAGGCCCCCCAGGGAATGGTCACAGCCCCAAGGCTGCCAGAGCTCCAGGAGTGTTTGGACAACACTCTCAGGAACAGGGTGGGGGTGTTGGGGTGTCTGTGCAGGGCCAAGAGTTGGACTTCAGTGATCCTTCCAATTCAGGATACTCTGTGATTCTACGAACTCAGGCACAAGGGAACTTTAGGTGCAGCTGGTATTGCTTAGCAGTGAGGCCAGAGCTGCAGAGTTGGTGACGTGTATGGAGGAAGCTCCTTCTCCAGGTGTTCTTCTCCCACTGTTCTGGGGGCTTTCCCCTGTCTGTTATTAATAGTGGGGATCCTGTGGAACTTGCAAGAGTAGATGTAAGATTTTGCAAAGGATATTATGTTCTTTCATCATCAGTTCTAGTGATCAGCATCTAAGTTGTTAAAATTTAAGTCTTCAGAGCTGCAGACAAGGAATCAGTTTTTTCAGATCTGGGGGCGGACTCTAAAGACAAAAACATCCTTTGCTGAAAGTGAATAGAAAATGTGACTAAATACACACTTCTCCCAAGTAAAAAGCAATAAGATGAGAGGGAACAGCCTCAAGGTGTGCAAGGGAAGGTTTAGATTAAATACTGGGAAATAATTTTTCTTTGAGGAGTTGTCAAGCATTGGAAAAGTCTGTCAGGAAAGTGACAGTCACCAACCCCAGAAGTATTTAAAGCATGTGTGGATGTGGCACTTGGGGATGTGGTTTAGTGGTGG